CAAAATGCCTAAATACTGAGAGGCTCCACCCACTGGAGATCTTCTAGTGAATGTAAAGTGTGTAGGGGCGGGGCTATCGAAATGCCTACATACCAAGAGGTTCCACCCACTGCAGATCCTACAGCAAACACAAGTGTGTAGGGGTGGGGCTTTCAAAATGCCCACTTACTTAGAGGCTCCACCCACTGCAAAATCTGTTGTGAAAGACAAGTGCCTTGGGGGTCGGGCTATCAAAATGCCCACTTACTAAGAGGCTCCACCCACTGCAGATTCTGTAGTCAAAGTCAAGCACCTAGGGGGCGGGACTATCAAACTGCACATTTACTAAGAGGCTCCACCCACTGCAGATTCTGTAGTGAAAGTTAAGCGCCTAGGGGGCGGGGCTATCAAAATGCACATTTACTAAGAAGCAATGTACACTGCAGAACCTGTAGTAAAATTTAAGTCCAAAGGGGGCGAGGCTATCAAAATGCCAGAAAGAGGCTCCACCCACTGCAGATTCTGTAGTGAAAGTCAATTGCCTAGGCGGCGGGGCTATAAAAATGCCTACATACTAAGAGGCTCCACTCACTGAAGATCCTGTAGTGAATATCAAGTACGCAGGGGGCGGGGCTATCAAAATGCACCCTTGCTAAGAGGCTCCACCCTCTGCAGATTCTGTGGTGAAAGACAAGTGCCTAGGGGGCAGGGCTTTAAAAATGCCCACTTACTAAGAGGCTCCACCCACTACAGACTCTGTAGTAAAAGTTAAGTCTATAGGGGGCAGGACTATCAAAATGCCAGAATAAGAGGCTCCACCCACTGTAGATCTTGTAGTGAATATCAGGTGCATAGTAGGGGCGGGACTATCAAAATGCATACAAATTAAAAGGCTCTCTCAAATGTCCATAAAATAATATACTCCACCCACTGCTAATAGTAAAGACAACTGTTAGGAGGCGGGGCTATAAAAAGTGCACAGAGAGGCTCCGCCCACTGTTGATCCTGTAGTGAATACAGGGGCGGGGCTGCCTAGGTAAAAGAGAACAGAATATTTGAAGTACTCGTGTGAGTTCTGTGTTTGATTGCAGAAACAAATGTATTTCCGCTTACGAAACAAAGAGTCTGGGCTTCTGATGACGGTCACCGGCTCACCTGAAGACGTCAAACTGATGCGCATACAGGTGACGGAGGAGGCGGGCGGAGACAACCAGATCTGGAGCTATCAGGACGGACACCTGCAGTGCAAGGTAGACAAGCACATCTATATATTAGATGATGACTGATGACCCTCACAATCAGATTACACACAACACTTTGATAAGGAGCTCTGATCACGCCATCTGTGTGTGTGTGTGTGTGTGTGTGTGTGTGTGTGTGTGTGTGTGTGTGTGTGTGTGTGTGTGTGTGTCAGTGCGTGCTGGATTGTGTAGTGGACTCGGCCTCTGCTGTTCTTCTGTCTGGATGTCGAGTGGTTTTGTCTTCAGACGTCTCTCGGCCGCAGCAGCTCTGGAACATCACGAGCGACGGCTTCATCCGCAACAACAGCTCACCTCAACACGTGCTGGAGGTCAAAGGTCAGAGCGATTCACTGACACACACTAACAGATGCATTTAAGCCCTCTGAAATACACACACACACTGTTAAGACGATCTAAATTAGCAGTTTTCCGTATTTTGTGGTTGATATTTTCATGCTTGTGGGATCTTGATCTTTCTTCTGATAACGACTTTTCTGCTCATTTGCAATAGTGTGTAGTGCTATATTGTCTGGCTTGGTGTTGTATATTACGCTACAACAGCATTGAAGTAAGCTGCAAGCACATTTCTGTTATTGTACAGACTTATTTCTCTAGATATGGCATTTGTTACACATTATATTGGTTCAAATATATCAATAAAAGTCACTTTGTTAAACTGTAGAGTTGAATTTACATCAAAAGAGCCGAGATCAGCATCCCATAATGCACAATGCGAGCTGTAAACATCTTTGTTTTTCAGAGCTGGTTTTCTGTGGTTTAGTCAGGTTTGAGCTGTTAACCCGCAGCATTCCTTTATTCCTTGAGTCTTGTAGAAACGGCGTAATTTATGACATGGACTGCTTCCTTAAATGCCTGCTGGAGTCTGCGGGAAATCATTACTGTTAATATAGTTGTCATAAACGCAGATGATTTACACTGCAGTCGGGAGTGTGTGTGTGTGTGTGTGTGAGTGTGTGTGTTTAGCTGGCAGCTGAAGATGATTGCACAAGTACAGAGAAACGAATGGGTGTGTGGCGCCACCTGCTGACAGACTAACACACACACACACATACAAACTATGCGCACTCACTAATTAGCTATACTTTAAATAAAACAAAACATAATAACTAAACAATAAACAATAAAATAAAACATTTAATTAATTAATAAAGCATTATTAAAAATTATTATTATAAAAAAAGTATCTTTATTTTAGCGTAACATTTATGTAATTTTTGCTTGAAAATCTGCATGAAATTTTTTGCATATTATTATTATTATTATTATTATTATTAATATTATATATTATTAAAATTATAATTACCCACAGTAACTAATTTTTGTACCAAAAATACTTAATAAATATATAAATAATAGGCCATTAACTTGATGCTAATAGATTGGATTAAATATGCATCATTGTCCTTATAAAAATAGCTATAATAAATAATAGTAATAATAATAATAATATATTATATAATATAATACAAAAATATACAAAAATAATAAGTAAATACATACAATTAAAAAATAATTAATAATAAAACCAATATTTAAATCATATAAAGGTGGAATTATTGTTATTATTATTGCTATTATTATTATTATTATTATTATTATTATTATATATTATTAAAATTATAATTAACCCCAGTAACTAATTTTTGTACCAAAAATACTTATATAAATATATAAATAATAGGCCATTAACTTGATAATAATAGATTGTATTAATAATAGAATTATCCTTATAAAATAGCTATAATAAAAAATTATAATAATATAATATATAATATAATACAAAAATATAAAAAAATAATAAGTAAATGCGTACAATTAAATAAATAATTAATAATTAAACCAATTTTTAAATAATATAAAGGTGAAATTTTTGTTATTATTATATATTTTTAAAATTATTAGTAACCACAGTAACTATTTTTTGTACCGAAAGTACTTTAATTATATAAATAATAGGCCATTAACTTGATACTAAAAGATTGTATTAAATATGCATAAATGTCTTTATAAAAATAGCTATAATAAAAAATAATAATATATAAATATAATACAAAAGATAATACGTTAATACATACAGTTTAGTAAATAATTGATAATTAAACCAATTTTTAAATCATATAAAGGTGGAATTTTTGTTGTTATCATTATTTATTTATTTATTTTTATTAAGAGTAATAATAAAATTAATATAAAAAAGTTCATTATCAGAAAAAGCATGGTTTGCTTTCATTTGATTAATAGGTTATTTTTTGTGCATAATTGTCATGAAAATATTGTCCCAATGCAGAAACATTTATAATAATAAAATTAATTTGGTCAAAAAATTTAACAATTTTTGTTAGGTTTTAACAATATTGTAAAATATAACTTTATTTGACGTCCTAATAAGATTAGCACACTAAGTAATGCATACAATTAGTCAAAATCCTACAATTAAATGTATCTAGAAGATGCACATAAAAATGTCCTGTTGTTTTTTCTGTAGGAGGTCAACAATTCGACAAAAACCAGATTATTCTTAATGAATTCCACCCAAATAAAGCGAGTCAGCAATGGTCTGTGGAAATCCTGTGAGCAGATTCACTTCATGAGCTCCGTCGGTTGACCCACTGTTCTGTGGCGGAGCTGCACCAGGGGGACCAGTGTCCTGTGGGGCAGCTGCACCAGAGGGACCACCATCTGCATTTATTATGGAAACCTCATTCCCAGGAGAACCAGTGGATTTAATATGATCACAGTTAGCTGGACATGGTGTTATTTTTATAAATGAACTATCTATCCAAGCTGCCTCTCGAAAGCACACACTTGAACGGTGCTTTATGTAAATTGTTTTAATGTACTTGTATGGATGCCTGTATAAAACACAACCTGCGTGTTTATATGTAAATGTTTGCTTTGATAATTAACTGCAGCTTCATTCTGATCATTGAAACGTGTGATCGCGTCTGATTGGTCCGTGAGGATTCGGTGTCTGCTGATTGGCTGTCTGGGGATTCAGATGTTCTGTGTCCAGTGAAATGAGTCCGCCGGTCGCTTGTTTTTTCACAGACGAAATACAGCTCAGAGTCTGAACAAACACTCTGTAAATGTCACAAACATACGCTCTTCCAGGAATGCTAGTACAATGTTTGTTCAGAGTGATCCGGTCTTTAATAATGCTCTTAAAACATTAGCACTAGTACATTGTTCGTGGAGTGTTTTTAGGTTTTAGGGGCTGTTAAATGCTGGATTCTGATTGGCTGATAAACATATGATGGTGCACTGATATTTTCTAAAGTAGTTCCGGCAAGATTTGGAGCGCATTACAGCTCCATATCACTACGCTGAAGCAGTTCAGTTGTATTTTTGTTTTATTTATTTTGGCAGAGTATTTAGATATTTTTTAACTAAAAATAACATTCGAAGGTGCGCTGATATTTTTTGAAGTAGTTCCAGCAGATTTTGGAGCGCATCGTAGCTTCATATCATGACACTGAAGCAGTTGAATTGTATTTTTATTGTTAATTATTCTGTCAGAGTATTTAGATATTTTTTACTAAAAATAAACATTCGAAGATGCGCTGATATTTCCTAAAGTAGTTCCGGCAGATTTTGTAGCGCATTACTGCTCCATATTACTACATTAATGCAGTTTAATTGTATTTTTGTTTTTATTTATTTTAGCAGAGTATTTACACTGTTTTATTTAAAGTTAACATTCAAATGTGCGCTGATATTTTCTAAAGTAGTTCCGGCAGATTTTGGAGTGCATTACAGCTCCATATCACTACGCTGAAGTAGTTGAATTGTATTTTTGTTTTTATTTATTTTGGCAGAGTACTTCGATTATTTTTTTTACTAGATTTGTCGGGTTTGTTGACATGTTCAATAGTGGCGAGTCAAATAGTTAAATTACTTCTCCGACATGGTAATTAGTAATTTCAAGACATTTTATTGACGTAATTAGTCACAGGGCTGCAAAATGCTCGATTCTTATTGGCTGATGAGGCAGTGAAGATCATTGATTTATAAAGAAACCAGATCTTAAACGTTACGATATTATAATTGCATGCCAGTTCACAGGAAGTGCTTGAGCTGGCTGACTGCAAATTAAAAGTCCCTGTAGATCCTCTGCTTGAGGATACAGCAATTTGCTGCTGTCCCTGATTGAGAAACGCTGGACATTTTTACATTCTTTCAATTGTTTAAAGTGTCAGAGCAGTTCACGCCCTGATTTCATGAATGATTGCTCACACACACACATACACACACACACACACACACACACAATGTTCTACCACCTGTGTGTGTGTGTGTGTGAAAGTGAATGTGCTGATTCCGCAGGGCTCAGTGTGTGTCTGCTGTCGTCAGCCTTCAGTTTCCGGTGCAGTGAAAGAGCTCCGGCCGGCGGGACACGTGTCTCCGACAGTAAAGCCCGCAGAGAAAGAGCGCAGGATTAGCGGCGACCAGAATGGCTTCAGCGGCTTAAACACACAGACTGAATGACCACGCATGTGTGTGTGTCACTGGCAGTCTGAAGGGTCACAGTGTGTTTGTGTTGAAAACGCAAGCAGTGCAGTGTAAACAGATGATGGAGCTCATTAAGGGTCTATATGCTTAGTGTTGTTCAGCCACCGATTAACTTGCGGTGGAAGATTAATGTTTTGCTATTATCAGTTCATGAGGTTGCATTTACAGCATCGATGTTGTAATGTAATTATATTATCAGTAAAACAGGCTTAAGCATTAATTTATTTGTTAAAGCGTAAAACTAGATGAAAGACGGTTTAAACACAAGCACCGTCAGTAGCAGAAACTCCATTTAAAATACTGTGGTAAGATAAATTTCCATATTTTAAAAACAACTGTCTGAGACCTACTTTATATCATATATCAATCAGGCAGTGAAGATTGTTGATTTTTAAAGAAATAAGATCTTAAATGCTGTAATTTTGTAACAGGATAGCATTAACCGGAAGCGCTTAGGCTGGCTGACTAGAAATTAAAAGTCTTCATGGATGTACAACATTGGGACAAACGTTTATATTAGCTTAAATTTTTAAAAAAATACTATAGCAATGTATAGTAAACACTGTAGTGTTTAGGTAAACGTATTATAGACTACTGTATTTATATTAAAGTAATTGTTAATGAATGCTAAGACATACCCTAGTATAAACTATTGAACTAATAAACTAATAAATACTGTAGCATACTTTAGTTTTACAACAGTAAACTGTGGTGTATTGTAGTATTATAAAATAAATAGTCCTACAGAACACCTGCAGAAAATATGACTGGAGCGAAAGCAGCGGAGCTTTTATTATGACACAATCTACTGCTTTCGGTTTTTCAGCTCGTGTTCACGTCCTATGGTTCACATGGAGAAGAAAGCAGTGATGTTTTATCAGACTAAATAAATTTTAGGGTTCTGTAATAATGCTGCTTTAAGCAATCTAATTAAACACACAAAATGTGAAATCATCTTTGGTGTATTTTTGCCAAACCGGAAGTTTAGTGTTTGTTATTAGCATGGCGGCACAGCTGGACGCGCTTCTTTCAGGATTTGAACTTTCTTCAAAATATTTGGGATGATGTAAGTACATAAATAAGAACTACCAGTTTGTTTTTAGCATGTTTGACGTAAATTAGCATGTATTGTGCATGTTTAGTGTGTTCTGAGCTTGATTCTATTAGCATTTTAGCCCACAGTTACCACATCTACTTCAATGCACGTTTTATTAAGCTGTTAACATCATTTAGAATTTTGCTAACATGTTTCTAACATGCTGAACATTTTGTTAGTGTTGTTAGCATGATTGAAAGTGTTTACGTCTTTTAACGTGGCTAACATGTTTTTTAAATCACAAATTAGCATGTTTTTTCATGTTTCCATCATGAATTATAATGTTGGTGACATTTTTAACAATTTAAAAGCTGTTACTTTTAAAATATTAACGTTATAACAACAAACTGAGGTGTTTAGCCAGTTATATTTCCTGCAATGTCACTTTCATGATTAAGCATGTTAGCATTTTCTAGATTAGTTGTTAGTTTTTGCTTGGTGCTAGCCAGATGAAACACTCAATGTAAATCTGTGGGATTTTATGTGTGATCAGTGAGGAATGATGCAGTGAAACGTAACGCATGCACTTTTATTTGTCCCCCAAAGTGAGAGAAAAGCCCCTGAGTGTCTGTTCATCCAAGAATGACATCATCTGCAGCCAGTGCAGTCGCTCGGCATCATGGGAGCAGGTGCTGGAATCTGCAGAAGTCAAAGGTCAGCTCAGTATCACTCTAAAACACAAACCGCTGCCTCTTCATTCGTTCGCACACACTGCACTGAGCTCAATAGAGCGAAGTCACAGTTCAAGCACTTCCACCTCTGACCCCTGAACATCGACCCTTCAAAGGGGTCTCAATTATAAATGTGGTGTATGCACGAAACAGGCCATGGTTGTTACCAGAAGGGATACAGCTGTGGTTGTAGGTTAATGAGAACTATTTATACTATATTAGGATACCCATTAATTGTATTTTATTAACGCCCACCCTAATCCTACCTCCTCACAGTAACGTAAACACTGTATTTTGGTAATACGATACATAATTATAGTACACTTCCGGCCACATCCTCACACATGTGAAATGGCTCTAGCGCACAGTGATGTCTGATCAGCACAGACGCGCTGATGGTGAGGGTTTTGAGGACAGACGAGGCCATCGCACACACACAAAGACAGACAGAGATGATTAACACTCGCCGGACAAACTCGGAGAACAGAACAGAGCAGAAAAAACGGCCTGTACTCGACCTCACACAGCACAGCACACTCGTCCTCATACAGAGCTAATATGTGACCACAAAACCTGACATGAGGGCCCATTTTAAAGGCACATTATTGGGTGAGCTGTCTCTTTAAGAACAAGCTACTTAAAGGAAACAGTTAAAGTCTCATTTAATTACAAAAAAGCATCAAATTGAAGCTTTAAAGAACATGTAAGGAAGTAATGTGCAAAAATTAGCCTTGGTTTGTCTTTGAAATAGGATTTATTAAATTATTAAACATTGAATTAAGACGGACAGCATTGCATTTTTCCTGAAAGTATTGTCCATTACCATTATTTTATTTTGGCACACTGTCCTACTATTGCTTTTTTTGCTGTCTTTTATTTTATTTTGAAGTTCTTGTGTTGGTAATATTTTATGATTGTCAATATTTAAAATAGAAAGTGTGTTCAGGGTTGATTGGGGAGTGTTTATAAAGCAATAAAATCTCTATTTAAATAATGACTTTTACATTTACATTTAGTCATTTAGCAGACGCTTTTATCCAAAGCGACTTACAAATGAGGACAAGGAAGCAATTTACACAACTAAGAGCAACAATGAAGAAGTGCTGTAGGCAAGTTTCAGGTCTGTAAAGTCTAAGAAGGAAAGTTTTAGTAGTATTAGTTTTTTTTTTTGGGGTACAGTTAGTGTGATATCCAGAGAGGCAATTGCAGATTAGGAAGTGAAGTGGAGACTTTATGGACGTGCCAGCCCTGATTTTACTCCTACTCATTTTATTACTTATAATGTCCAAGACATTGATATTATTATTAATTATTATTTATTAGCTTTTTTCTTGCCTGTTTACTGGGTTAAAAATGTTAAATAATTTCATCTCCATCTGCTGGTGAAAGCTAGAGCAGCTGGCGATCTTCAGTCTGCAATCTATTGCTTTTCCTGCAGTTCCCGGATGTAATGTTGAATTTTAACAGTCGAATTTGAGCCACTGAATTTATGGAAGCGAACTGAAACTGAAAATTACCTTTTGAATATTATACATGGTATTTTTAAAGGGTATTGAATATTTTGTATGTAAAATCTGACAATTGAATATGAATTATTGAATTTATAAGTATGAAAACATGTTTGAAATATTTTTTTTGAATATGCACAGCTTAAATAAACAGTTATGTTAAATTTCAGGACCTAAAAATAGTCATTAAAATGCAAGAACTTGTTAATAGTGTATTTTTTTTCAGTTTGTGCTATTCAATAAGCTTTTTAATTGAATACTTTTGGCATTGATTTTCTTCCATATATGATATAACCAGAATAAAAACCTGTTCCATCCTCAATAATACCTACCAGTGCAGTAGCATTGAGCAAGAGACAGAGAGACTGTATTCTGTAACTTTTGTACTGGGCATTAAAATAAATAGGAGAAAAAAGTGTTGCTTTTGCAAATATATCTCAGCACACCTTGAATTAATAAGTTTATATTTATACTCAGAAACACTGAAGTTATTGCTTGAGGAAAATTCTGAATATTGTAATTCGGTCAACATAATTCTACAGCTACTTCAGACAAAGTATTTTGCGGCTTGTTCAAACTACTTATTTAAAATGAGCTGCAACATAATTCTTGATGTATATGTCCCGGGACAACTTAATCCACAATAATATCTTAAGTTATCTTGATGGATTTGTGTTGGGACATCATGAGTGAATTGTGTGCAGCCCTGCGCTTTTTCCAGTCTGTATTTTTGTGTCTGAGATGAGCAGAGAGCACAGAGGCCGTCTGTCCCCCTGCATAATTACTGTCCTCTGCTTCTAGACGATATAATGAGCGCTCATTAATTATGCTCTCAGATATTACATAAGAACCGCACAGAGAAACCAGCGTCTGTCCTGAAGCGCCATTCATTCCTCAGCACTGATCCGCTTATAGAATCTGTAAGTGATCTTTAACTATAAAAGAGCTTTGTTTTGACTTTTACTAACATAAATATGCCAAAACAATCAGTTTGTGATGAATGCCGTGTGCGTTTCTGCTGGGTTCAGTTTATTCAAACGTCCCGCCTATCTGAGCAGAATCATCCAATGAGATGCGGTTTCAGTAATGGATCAGCCAATCAAATTAGTTTGTTTTATGCAATACATTTATAGATGTGTTTAACTCATGTTCAAACAAATGAGTGATTCCATGCAAATGTCAACCTTGCCATGAAGAAAATTAAGCTTTCACTAAAATAGCGAAACCATTTCTACATTTTTTGTGTAAGCAAGTATTTTACAGTACTACTCGAAAATGTCTCTAAGTGTTTTCAAACTATTATATTTGATTTACCAAAGTTACACAAGTCACATGTGTCTGTCACATCCATAAAGTTTTTCCCATCATAAGTGCAAAACTGTATATAATATATAATAAAATCAAGTCAGTCATGTTTGCTCTATGGTAACGAGTCTTATGCTTTATAGCATTATATCTTTTGTGTTGTGCAGTTTAATTCACAGAATTTCTATAAAGTCTGTTGTAGACTGTAAACTCACAAACTTTTATTTTTGTCACATCCATAATGCATGTTTACTAATTTAAAGTATAAAAATATTTACAGATGGATATTTTTCTGATCCCATAACTCTGTGGTTAGCTGTTTTGGAGCATATAAACAGCTGCTTCAATATAATGTTAAGCTGTCCTTTGTCTGTGTATTCATATTAAGTTTTTCTTTCGATAATACTTTTTTTTTTTTTTTTGCATTTTGTTCTACAATTTTTTTTAAAGAAAATAAATGTATTTAATACTTATTAAAGTAAAACCAACTAACAATAGCAAGATGAGCTTTAAAAAATCTAATGTGTTTATATATTTTATATATAAATATGTATAAATCTATTATAAATTAAATCAGTTTTTTTTTTTTTAAATTTACTTTAACATTATTAACAGAGTGCTCAATATACAGAGCTGCAATGTGAGCTTAAAATTATTAAGTAAAGTTGTTATAAATAAAATAAATTTTTTGCCAAACAAATTTATACACACACACACAGTTGAAGTCAGAATTATTAGCCCCCCTTTGATTTTTATTTATTTTTTTAATATTCCGCAAATGATGTTCAACTGAGCATGGAAATGTTCACAGTATGTCTGATAATATTTGTTCTTCTGGAGAAAGTCTTATTTGTTTTATTTCAGCTAAAATAAAATCAGTTTTTAATTTTTTAAATACCATTTTATGGTCTAAATCATTAGCCCCTTTAAGCTATATTTATTTTTTTGATAGTCTACAGAACAAACTATCGTTATACAATAACTTGCTTAATTACCCTAACCTGCCTAGTTACCCTAATTAACCTAGTGAAGCCTTTAAATGTCACTTTAAGCTGTATAGAAGTGTCTTCAAAAATACCCAGTAAAATATTATTTTCTGTCATCATGGCAAAGAGAAAATAAATCGGTTATTAGAGATGAGTTATTAACACTATTATGATTAGATATGTGTTGAAAAAAAATCTCTCTGTTAAACAGAACTTGGGGGAAAATAAGCAGGGGGCTAATAATTCTGACATCAAGTGTGTGTGTGTGTGTGTGTGTGTGTGTGTGTGTGTGTGTGTGTGTGTGTGTGTACATGTATGTGAATAGTTTATATGCGAAAAGCTCTCATAAAATTGTCATTTTTCTCAGACTCCCATGTGTAGGATCAGTAAATTTACTTTTAAAGTGACGAATAAGTTCTTTTTACCGCCTTTCATGTGAAAAAACTAAACATAAGCATAGGAGGCTGATTAAATTGCTCATTTTAGGTAAACATTTAACATGGCATTTTGAGGTTTTGCATCTATATATATTCATTCATTTATTTTATTTTCTGCTTAGTCCCGTTATAACCAGGGCACGGGTGGTTGCGACAGAGGAATGAACCGCCAAAATATATATATTTATATATATATATATATATGTGTGTGTGTGTGTGTGTGTGTGTGTGTGTGTGTGTGTGTGTGTGTATATTGAATATATACAATGTTCATTTCTGACTGTAAAAAAAAATGAGATAATAATTAAATCAATTTAAGTAGGAAACAGAAAGGGGTTTGTAATGTTTATATTTTATTTATTTACATATCAAATCAGAATTTTTATTGATGATTCACAATTATAAAAAGTCAGTCATTTAATAATAAGAATAAATAAACTAAATAGATTGCATTTAATGTTGTCTTGTAAACTCCATCATGATGATTTTATAAATTAAAGTATCATTGGATCCCGAACATGAATCTGATATTTACTAATATTTACAAGTTACATATTTTAAGGTCTTGTTCAGGCTTAACACATAAAAAATGTCATATGCATCATATAATTTTGAAATATAGCAAATATTGACTTTTTTTATTTTTCATTTGGAAATACAAATATGTACACATGTATTAGCTATAATTTAATATGCATGTTGATATATGATCAGATTTCCGTATGCGATAACTGTATGACATCATCA